GGCTGATCATTGTGGCAGTTTTACTTTCCCAGTCCCCTGGCAAGCTTTACTTATTAACATACAAATGAAATGCCATTATACTGAGTAGTACTCTAATGTGTAAATGTGCCACATTTTCTTTATCCATTCTTCAGATGAGGGGTACCTAGGTTGTTTGCAAGTTCCGGTTATTACAAATAATGATGCTATGAACACAGTTGAGCAAATATTCTTGTGGTATGAGTGTGTATCCTTTCAGTATATGCCCAAGAGTGGTATTGCTGGGTCTTGAGGTAGATTGATTCCCAAGTTTCTGAAAAACCACCATACTAGTTTCCAAAGAGGCTGTACAAGTGTGCACCCCCACCAGCAATGGAGGAGTGTTCTCCTTACTCCCATCCTTGTCAGCATGAGCTGTCATTTGTTTTACACATCTTATCCATTCTGACAGGAGTAAGGTAAAATTTCAAAATAGTTTTGATTTGCATTTCCCCGACGGTTAAGGATGTTGAAAATGTCTTTAAGTGTTTCTCAGCCTTTTAAATTTCCTTTATTAAGAATTCTTTGTTTAGATCTGTACTCCATTTAAGTATTTCACATGTAATCATTTGAAATCATATGATGTATGCCAGTGTCAAATTCTATGGATTCTTTGTAGAATCTCTTAGTCTTAGTTTTGTCGAATTTCTTAGTCTAGAAGCCCATTTCTCTTTCTGTATTTGGGATGGTTGACCTATTATTTTTATCAAATAATCTGTGTTTCTTTCTCTCTCTTTTTACCTCTTAATATGTATAAAGAGCTACCTGATAGTGTTCTATACATCCTTTACAGTTTCTTCACTCTTTTTCATATTTTTTCTTTTCCTTCCTCTGCATTATAATTTCAAGCTGCCTGTCTTTAATTTTTATAATTCAATTTTCTGGTTTATCAAGGCTGCTGCTGGCACACTACAGTGAATTTTCTCAATTTACATGTTTTATTCTTTAACTTGGATTTTACATGGTCTATTGCTTTATTTGATATCTTCATTTTGTTCATATATAATTTTTTCATCTTGATACCTTTGTGCCAGTTCTTTTGAATTATTTATCAGACAATTTATTTGCCTTCTATAAAGTCATTTGGGGAATGCATTTTGTGCTTTGTGTGGTCCACGTTTCTTAGTTTCGTTTCATACCTTCTTATTTGAGAAAATGTTTGCTTCTCTACATTTCCACTGGTTAGCTAACTTTATACAGAAGAAGGCTTTCACCAGTTATCCTGAATCTCTGAGGGCCTCTCACACTTCTGGATTGGATGTGTAGATTATTCATTATAAAGATTTACTAATTGTTTTTTCTGAACCAATTATTTTTTTCTGATTTTTTTTACAATATTTTGCTCCCTCTGGTGTCTCTCTTTGATATTGCACTTTTGGAGCAGCTGTATTTTTTAAAATTAAATTTATTAATTTATTTTACATCTGAACTGTGGTTTCTCCGATTCCTCCCCACCACCTTCCCTTTGCTCCCACCCCAATTCACTCCTCTGCTTCTGTTCAGAAAGGGTCAGGTCTCCCATGGATGTCAACAAATCTTGGCATATCAAGTTGAGGTAGGACTAAGCTCTTCCCTTCGTATTAAGGCTTGGTAAGGCAACCAAGTATGTGGAATAGGTTACCCCAATGCTTGACAAAGCATGAGGGACAGTCCCTGCTCCCACTGCTAGGAGTTTCACAAGTAGACCAAGCTACACAACTCACATATATGTAGAGGGCTTAGGTCAGTCTCATGTGGGCTCCTTAGCTGTCAGTTCAGTGTCTGTGAGCTCCTATGAGCCCAGGATAGTTGTCTCTGTGTTCCTTTGTGACAACCTCGACCCCCTTGGCTCATATAATCCCTCTTCCCTCGCTTCAACAGGACTGCCTATGCTCTACACAGTTGCTTGGCTGTAGATCTCTGTATCTGTTTCCATCAGTCACTGGGTAAAGTCTCTGATGACAGCTGGGGTAGTTACCAATCGCCAATCTTACTACAGGAAGATGACCAATTCAGACTACCTGTCCACTTGTAGTAATAGGAGCGGCTGGTTGCAGCCCAGCTCCCAGTTAGCTTTACCTGAAATGATAACACGGAAACTGTATTCATTTAAACACTGCCTGGCCCATTAGTTCCAGCCTCTTATTAGCTAATTCTCACAGCTTGCTTTAACCCATATTTAGTAATCTGTGTAGCACCACGAGGTGGCGGTTTACTGGGAAAGATTCTAATCTGCATCAGTCTCAGGTCGGAGAATCATGGTGTCTGCCTCACGTCCCTTCTTTGCAGCATTCTGTTCTGTTTACTCCACTTATCTAAGCTGCTGTCCTTTCAAAGGTCAAGGCAGTCTCTTTATTAACCAATGAAAGTAACATATAGACAGATGACCCGCCTACATCATCCACCATTGATAGGGGTCTTAGCTGGGGACATCCTTGTGGATTCACGAGAGTTTCCCTTGCACCAGGTTTCTACCTGACTACAAAAGACCCTGCCACATCAAGACATCTCTTTAATTACTTTCTTCTTCCACCCTGCCTCCAACCCGATCTCTCATGTTCCCATCCCCACCTGCCCCCAGTTTATCCAGGAGATCTCTTCTATTTCATCTTCCCAGAGAAATCTGTGTATCCCTCTTTGGGCCCTCCATGTTACCTAGCCTTTCTGGGACCGTGGATTGTAGCATGGTTATCCTTTACTTTACAACTAATATCCACTTATAAGTGAGTACATACCATGTTTGTCTTTCTGGGTCTGGGTTCCCTCACTCAGGATGATTTTCTAGTTCCATCCATTTGTCTTCAAATCTCCTGATGTCATTCTTTTTAGCAGCTGAGTAATACTCCATTCTGTAAATGTACCATATTTTCTTTATCCATTCTTCAGTTGAAGGACATCTAGGTTGTTTCTGGGTTCTGGTTCTTATGAATAGCACAAACAGCTGTATTTTTACCTCAAATTATATTCTTTCTCATATATTCATGTGTGTGTGTACAATCCTGAAAATGAAAATAATCTTCAACAGAAGAATGGATAATTAAACTATTGTACATATATACATAATGTAATACTATTTGTCTAGAAAGAAAAATGAAATAATTATGTTTATATAGAGAAATAGGTTTTATACACACACATATGTGTGTGTATATGGAGAGAGAGGGAGGGAGGGAGGGAGGGAGAGAGGGAGAGAGAGACAGAGAGAGAGAGACAGAGAGAGAGAGACAGAGAGATGCCATCTTGGCTGTCAGTGTTACTCATTAGAACCAAAGACTAAGAACAAAAAAAATACCTCTAGTACAAGGCATATAAAACAACCTTTTGTATAGGGTAGTCCAGTTGACTCCTAAAACAATATAAACCATTGATATTGCCTTTCATTGCTTCTTGAAGGTTTCAGGTAAATCCCTATTGCTGAAGACACTGTACACCTAGAACACAGGATATGGATGCTTTGAGCTGGTTCTAACCTAAAAGCCTTCTTCTTCTGGTGTAGCTTCTGTGCTACCAGAAAATGCTATACAAGCTGATAGCAGAGGGAAACAATTAGTTTTACCCTGCTGCAATATGTATGAATCAGAAAATGACCAGAGTGGCAAGATATCCATAGCAATAAGTGGCACACATGTTGGTGTCAACAGCTGTCTAGTTGGACTCAAGGCCCTTTCATCAAGAAGGAAATCATACCTTGTAGTGGCTACTCAGGTCATGGACTTTAGAAAAGAATCTGCTACCACTGCTTTGCTAGACCAGCATCCCTTAGTACATTATGCATCCTTATACTAACAGATAAGTGTAGCTACCACCCCATCCAATAAACTTTTCTTTACAGCAAATGGAAACCATCACAGATGATAACAACTCGTTACAATGAGGAGATCATGAAATCGTGGGGAGCCCAGCCCCGGTAGGTCCACCTGCATTCCTGGTCCTGAATCTATGGCTCAAGGAACATCAATGAAGAGGGGCAGAGAAAGTGTAAGAGTCAGAGTATCACAAGATCAGCTGTGAAACAGTCTCTCCTAGAAGCAGCTGCTTAAAGAAGACCAGAGCAATGGCAATATCAGTTGACCTGCTAACGTGGAAGGGGGAAAGTTTCACAAGGCTCTACCCCTAGACAAAGAGCTGTAGGCAACTAATAACTGCTGAGAGATAGAGAATTAGCTTCTCTCAGGGATGTGGTCCCTTACTTATTATCCAGTATAAAGTGGTCAGTCCTGAAACCACATACACACACAACAAAAATGGACTTAGCAGGTTTATTTATATATTTGTGCATACATACACACATACATATTGATGTATGTAACAATAATAACCAAAGAAAAAGAAGCTGTCAATTTGAGAGTGCTGGTCCTGGGAAGGGTTTGGGGGAAAGTACATGGGAGGAGTTTATGGGAGGAACAGGAAGGAGGAAAGTGATATAGTTATATTATAACTTAAAATGTATTGAAAACTGTGAGCTTCATTACTGCTTTTACTGACAAAACAGAAATAATTTCTGTGGAAAGTAGCCTTAAAGAATAACATGTCGAACACTTACCCTATTCTTTTCTTCCCTTTACTAAAATAGAAGTCACTAAGTTGTATTAAACTCTGTTCTACTACATTTCAAGTCATGGCAATCTGCTTTCTTCTCGGCTGCCTTCAGACATGTTGAGCATGCCCGGTCCTGTCAGGGTTTTGAGAGTGAAGGTATTTGAGCGACTACTTTGAGTAGCTCTCTGTAAAACAACATGCTAGACATATGTTCCAACTCTTTCCCTTCCCAATGAGGATCTAAAAATTGGAATTTTTCTCTTATTCCATAATTAGTGAGGGTATTGGGTGGGGGTGTATCCTATTTGTCTTATTTTCAATGGCCCCTTTACCTGGTAATCTTTAATACCAGTGTTCAAACTCAGGGAAGATGTAACTTAATTCCACATACCCAGCCCCACCTCACCCCCACAAATCCATATGTCTGACATATGTTTAGTCTTTTATTTTTTTTCCATTTCCAGGAAGAAGCCAGCAATTGAGATTTCTTCTGATTGTACTGTGCTGAGCTAAGCAAGGAGATCATGGCAAGTAAGTACTGTGGCCTTTCATGTTGACAACAGTATGGCTGGTCATGCTTGCTGAAATGCAGGAGTCTATTAGTTGGTTTCTGGATTTCTCTTTGAGGAAATTAATCTATGTATTATTGTTGAATTTGGTATCCCCATTGTAGAAAAGAAGGTTTTGGACTTTCTTTTCTACCATCTTGTTTGCATAAGGACTCTCTACTTTATTGTTTTCTTTTAATTCTTTCCCCCCAGAGATCTAGATCTGTGATAATACAAATTTTAGATCATTTGTTATGCCCCACAGATGCCTATGAGTATAGGTTTCCCCACCCCTATTTTTCTTTTCTTGTTAAGACCAGGAAAATTATACCTAAATTCTGTCTTCAACTTTGATAACTATGTTATTTATGTGAACTCTACATTGAGTGCATATAGCTATTTAAACGACATTAGCTATTGTGTTTTATCAGTTATATAGTTTGCATTTAAGTGTTTAAATGAAAACTGACTCCTATTTCTTTGCTGAGATTTTTCAATAATTTTGCACTTGTTTCAAGAGTATTTTTAACTGCTTGTTGAAGAATTTTATGTAGCTTTTTTGATAAACAGATTTTTATTTTAATTAAAAATATTTCCATAGCTTCCTTTCTTTCTTTTATCTCTCCAATCCCTCTCATACCCTCTCCCTTTAAATTCTTGAGTTGTTTTGGTATTTATGTTCAGTTAATTATCTTTTCTCCTTCAGCTTATGGTTTCCATAGATCTTGAGATGAGAAGTCATTTTTCTTATTGCACCTTAAACATTTTGCCTACTATTTGGATAACCCTTAATCCTATTTAAGTTATTGGTTTCATCAGGCGGTCATCCTTTTAGTTAAGCATATAAGCTACGGACTGCTTTATTTTTAATTTAAATTTTTTCATATGATATGCTTTCATTGTATTTTTTCACCTCCTCCAACTCCTCCCAAATAATCCCAACTTCCCTTCTCACCAAACTTCATGCCCCTCTCTCTTCCTTTCTCAAAACAATAACAACTACAAAACAAAAATAAACTCCAAATGAAATAAAAACAAACAAAATCCCTACAAGATAAAAATAACAAAACAAAACAAAAAGCACACAGAAAAACATGAAGTCCATTTTGTGTTGGCCAACACTCCTGGTCATGGGACCTGCCCTGAAGTATGTTGTTATACCCAGTGACAACTCCCTGAAGAAAAGGGATTGTTCTCTCTCCCAGAAGATACCAATTGCCAGTAGCTTCTTGGTTAGAGGTGGGATTTCGTCCCACTCCCCTTCTCAGTGCTGCAATTTTGATTGGTTTGAATTGCTCAGGCCTTGTGTGTGCTATCACGATGTCTGTGAGTTGTTACACGCATCAGGCCTCTTGTGCGTGGGTGACACTGTTTCCTTAGAGTAGTCCACCACCTCTGACAGCTTAAAATCTTTCCACCTTTTCTTCCACTTAGAGCTCTAAGCCTTGAGGGGAGGGGCTTGATAAAGACATTCCAGTTAGGACTCCGTTCTCCAAAGTCTCTCACTCTGTGTGTGTTGCTCAGTTGTAGGTCTCTGTTTTAATTAAAACGTATTGCAAGAAGAAGCTTCTCTGATGAGGGTTGAGCGGGGACCTAATCTATGGCTATAACAATATGTCATTAGCAATCACTTTATTGCTACATCCCTTTAGCAGAATGATAGTAGTAGGTTATTCCCGTGGCTTATGATCTATCTAGCTTCATGTCCTTGAACATTTTACCCACATCAGGTATGGGTTCTATATCATGAGATAGGGCCTTAAATCTAATAAAAAGTAGTTGGTTATTCTCACAAGCTTTGTGCCGTGATTGCATCAATATATCTTATAGGCTGGTCTCCATTGTAGGTCACAGAGTTTTTACTTGGTGAAATTTACCATTACTTTTTTCCTCTGGTAATATGCAAAGTACCTTTCAGTACCATAAATGCTAGTAAGTAGGAATGAAGCTTCTAATTGGAGACTAGTTTGATATTTTTCATGTTAGACAACATAAGTAAGTTGTGTCTTCAGCAGCACGGCATTCTGGCAGATGTCTTAGTTCTTACATTCAGTTTTGAAACCCCAAAAGAGGTATTTTCCATCATTATAGATACCCTTTCTACCTATGCCCTTTGGACTCTGACACTTGAGTGATGCACTATAAATTCACTTTTCACCTTACAGGCCACTGAAACTCAATGAAAAGCTGCCGTAGCGATCCTTTCTCCTCTGAACACCTTTTATGCTGTTGCTTTATGCCTTTTGATGGCTTTGGTACTAAATTGTTTGAGAAATTAGGTGGGTTAGCTTTATTTACCGAGTTCTGGATGTTTGCCAAGGAAAATACTTCCAGGGGAACTGAAGATATATGAAAGGGATAATTAGGAAGATTGACTTTGAAATCTAAGTGCTCTCGCTCTCTCTCTCTCTCTCTCTCTCTCTCTCTCTCTCTCGCTCTCTCTTTCTCTCTCTCTCCCTCTCCCTCCCTCCCTCCCTCCCTTCCTCCCTCCCTCATATAAAAAGGACATGGATAGGATCCATATAAGAGGATTTTAAAAGATGATGGAGTCAGAGAGAGGTCTGAGATGAACATATAACCAGTGAATTTTAGGAGTGTTCATAATTGAGAAAGTTACTAAAGGTGAGAATAGTTACACATTAAAATGAGATTTGGGGGCCATTGAGTTGGCTTAGTCAGTAAAGGCACCACCAATGACTTACCAAATCTGATGATCTGAGTTTTATTTATGGAACCCACATGGTAAAAGGAAGGAGAAAGCCAACTCCCACAAGTAATCCTCTGACCTCCGTATTAGCAACATGGTCACCATTGTAGATCAAAGGTTTGTAGCTGGATTACCTTCTAATTAACAGAATCTAGTACTGCAAACACTAGTCAGTAGGGGTAAGGTTCTAGGTAGGCACCAGCTTGACTTCTCGATGTCTAATGAGTTATGTAGGTGTTGCCTTTAACAGCTGGACCTTGCCATCATTTTATGGAGAGCAATCAATAGCCTTGACAGTATCCTGGGTTGTTTGGGGTTTTCCATGGAGCTCCTTTGGTCAACAACACAATTAGATATAACCCATTTCTGGTACTGGAACTTTCATTTGATGATGAGTGATGCCTAGTTGTGGCTTTGTCTCTCCCATTATATGGTAATTCTATTTATATTTCTTTCATATATGTGCACATTTTAAGAAGCTTAAATAATGGTGGAGGGAAAATTGGGTCAACAGAGAAAATATAAGGAGGGGCATCTAAAACTAAGGACAATTTGAGGGTTGCATGTAATGGTTACTTTTAATTGTCATTTTGATATAAGTTAGAATCACCTAGAAAGAGAATTTCATAGGAGGGGTTGTGTAGATCAGGTCAGCCTATGGGCAGGTCCAGGGGGGATTTGTTTTGATTACATGAATTCATGTGGGAAGATTTAGTCTACTGTGAGTGGCACCATCCCCTATGTAAGGGATCCTGAACTGTGTAAGAATATCAGAGAAGGTGAATACAAGTAGGCATGCAATGCATCCTTTTCTCTCTGCTCTTGAATGTGAATGTGATGTGACTAGCTGTTTTAAGTTCCTGCCACCTTGCCTCTCTACTGTAATAGACTAAATCTTGGAATTCCAGCTAAAGTAACCCCCCCCCAAGTTGGTTTTTCTCAGGGTACTTTTTACTAGCAACCAAATGAAACTAGGCCAGGTTTGCTCCCTCTTTCTATTTTTATTTGGATTTTAAGGATTTGTAATGGAATCAGATGCATGTTAGTAACATGCAGTTTCACATATAGAAATGCCTTTATAATAAAGAAAAGCATAGTTTGTAAGCATCTCTGTTAGTCATGTTGTATCTAGTACGTTTTGAGTAGTCATATAAAGTACAGTTCTAGCATCATCCTTTAACAACTATACAGATGGATACATCCTACCCCCATGTCTACCTCAAGAGACATGTAGTCTCTTAGCTCTCCATCAAGATTGTAGAACATTTTTTAACTGTTACCTGTTTCCATCCTGCTCAGTTTCCATTGATGGGAGATTCACACTCACGCTGCTGATTTATAATGATCCAGGAGTGTCTTCAGATGGTATAATTTGCAGCTCTTGTTCTTGGTCTAGTTCTGAATAATGATACAGAATATTTGTAATACTTCTACTTGATAATAATTTAGTAACTTAAGGATATTCTTTTTTTTTCCTTTTGAGTGTATTGTCTATTCCCTGCTGTCTTACGAAGGTACTGTAATGACTGTTAGGTGCTCCAGAGCCAGACTGCCTATGTTTGAACTTTACCTGACAGTTTATTAAAATCTGTGATTCTGAATGGGTTATGTAATTTGTACTTTCTTACTTACTTCTCCTGGAAAATAGTGATAATTAATACATGATCTCTTCCTCATAGAGTTATAGAATTAAAAGAACCAATGTACGTAATCTATTTAGAACAGTGTCTGGCGCATCTACTCCCAGCATTAGTGAGACATGCAGCCCTATGATGCCAGCTGTAGTGGCCTGAGTAGTTCTTCTTAGAAACCTTTATTCGGCCTAAATTCTTGATATACTATAGAAAAAATCCCTATAATATTACTTGTGTATATGATTTCAGAACTGACCACTTGGTATTGGATAACTAGTTGCAGGACTCTTCCCTGAGGAGTACTATTCCTCTGGCTCTCAGCATTCCTTATTTGCTTGTAGTTCTTTGTCTAATGTGTTGGGGCCCAGGGTAAGTTTCTTCTTTTATATTAGCATGCCAGTTGGTATTGCTCTTATTCTGGTATTTAGGCAGCATACTATTGTAATGTTACAGGGATAGCTTCCTTCACATTTCTTTCCTTGTTTTTGAGACAGGGTTTCTCTTTAGTTTTGGAACCTGTCCTGAAACTAGCTCTTGTAGACCAGGCTGACCTTGAACTCAGAGATCAGCCTGCCCCCCCCCACCCCAGTACTGGGATTAAAGGGCTGCACCACCACTGCCCGGCTTCATTCACATTTCTAGTTCTAGAAGATGCAGTCTCACAGCAGACACTGTATTCCAAGTAACCGTATGGGCTGAAAAGATGGTATTTATATATGTAGCACTATATACACATATATGCCTGGTGTGTGTGTGTGTGTGTGTGTGTGTGTGTGTGTGTGTGTGTGTGTATCTGTGTGTAAAGCAACTATTAAAGAAAAAGACCAGAGACCATGTATTTGAGACAGAGAGCAAGTGTGTGGGGAGGGGGTGGGGAGGGAAGGTATGGAAGGAGTAGGAGGGAAGAAAGCTAAAGGGGAAATTATATAATGATATTCTAATTTAAAAAATATGAGATGTACAAATTAAAGAATTTTGTAGGAGTCAGTATGAAGAAAAATTGGAGTTTATAAAATAAAGCTTTTAATCTAGATTTAGGTACAAGCATTTAAAAAGGGAAAGAGTGTCGGGGTCCGATGTCCCAACATAAACTACTTTTCCCTCTCTGGACCTGCAGGGTGGCACTGGAATAATTGAGACACAGTTCACACAGCAATATCAAAAGGGAGTCTCAGGCTTCATTCAAATCCTAAAGATCACCCACGTTTATTATCCAAACACCTTTTATCCCCCAAGGTAAACTAAGGTGGAAGTTCATTAACATTTTGTTTCGGGGTAGCAGGACTACCACTGCAGCTGGGTCACTAGCTTGGAACTAACACCTCTTCTCAGGTGATCTACATAATTACAAAAGAAAAGGTGCAGCATATCCTGAGCTTTTGTTAGGGTAGCGACCAGCCTGTCTGGCAGGGTACATGACTGTTCTGGATACCAACCATAGCCCGAGAGCTTGGCTGTCACACCATGTAGAAATAAGGGTCGACAGAAGAGACCTGTAAAAGAACAGCAATAGAGAGACTTGCATTTAAGTGTCTTAACAAGTAACTATGTATATGATTTTGATGGCTATTGAAGTTACATTGTTCAGAAAGTTTAAAAAGTAAGTCAAATTTTGGCCTACCTTTCCCTACTCTCTGGCCACTGTAAGACTAATAAAAGCTTGCAAATTTATCAGGTTTTCATCCCTGGAGTGAATGAATGACTATTATCTGATACTGTAAAGGGGGCTCTGAAGACGTTCAGCAAGGATTGTGAGACACGATAATGACCCTGGATTATGTTGGTGGACTTTAATGTCATCACAGCGGCCATTAGATGAGGGAGACAGAGGAAGTTGGGCCAGAAAAACTGACAATGTAAATGTTACTGGAGCTTTTAGAGTAAAAGCCTGACCTTAACAGTCCCGACAAGGAAGACTCACTCTGCTATTCCTCCATTAAAACATAAGTAATAGGAAAAGTAGAGAAAGGAGATTTTAGTCAAAGTGGCTGCATTGGGAAGAAAAACAAATAGAAGGTCCAGTGAACCCCCAGTCAATCTTCAGGGTACTGGAATGAGATTTTACTAGGTATGCATAATTAGATAGTCTTGATGAAAGTGTGGCCCTTCTCATTACTGACCTTTGTTTGGTCTCATTTGTCTTGCAAAGTGGTTTGATGAATTATCAGAGATTTGTGTAATATCTCCCAGGAAGAGAAGTGACTTATCTTGTTGTCACCAAGGCTTCCCTTTTTCTAGAATGGACTTACTGGAGAAATTTTAATTCCTTGGAGCCCATTGTTTCAATAGTCTGATACCCAAAATGAAGAGCAAGTGTCTCTCTTGTTAAGTGATTAAACTGGTCAAATGATGACTTCAACACTATCCTCATGGCTTTGAGAGTGAAGAAGGGGTCACAAGGTAAGAGTGCAGCTTCAAAACTTGAAACTGTGGAGCAAATGTCACCCTGCTGATACATTGATTTTTTTTTCCTAAGTGACATTGATTTTTAGCTTCTAACTTCCTCCAAAGTGAGAGATTGCTTGTTATTTTAAGCCAGCAACTCTGTAGTGACTTATTTTAGAAGCCACAGGAAAATTATGTGGATCAGATTGTTACTGGAGTTAGGATCAGAGCCTATACTGTTAGCCTTAACAAGCCAAGCTCAACCATCTGTCCTTGATAGACCAAATAACATAGTCAAATTAATAATGAAAGACAGAGAAAAATAGAGGTATATTTATTCAGTGTGGACCATCTTGAGAAGAGGGACAGAGATTCAGTGGTTCCCACAAATCTTCAGGGTCCCAACATAAGGGTAAAGCTTAAATAGAAGACAAGATAAATGCATAGCTAAAGACTCCTACCAAGGTGTGTATGTCCTGCCCACCACCATCTTAGCTCTAATATCCACTAGGTCAGTCTCTCCTGCAATGTCATTGACCAGTTGTTAGTCTTTCCTGGAGATAAGTTCCCCCTCTGTTGGGCTCTGGGCCTTTAGCCCTTTTCTCTTCTTGGTGTGAGGATCCTAAGGAAACTGTAATTTCTTGAATCCGTTGTTTCAATAATTTGATGGTTCAAGGGAGGGCCACAGATTTTCTTTAAAATATCCTCATTTCTTCCATTCAGGCCAGTAACATCTTTCATCTTGTTAACTTTAGCCATTATCATAGCCAGTCAACATGGTAGAGGAAAAATGGAATAATGTTGATTTAGGACACTAACAATGCAGTTGTGTCTTAATTTGCTTTCTATTGCTATGATAAAGACCATGACTAAATGTAAATTGGGGAGAAAAAGGCTTATTTTGCCTTACAACTTACAGTCCCTCATTTAGGGACATCAGAGCAGGAACCTAGAGACAGGAACTGAAGCTGAGGCCATAGAGGAATTCTTCTTACTGGCTTGTTCCTCATCAATTGTTCAGCCTGATTTCTTATACAAGCCAGAGGTAGCATCACATACAATGGGCTGGGACCTCCCATATCAGTCTTTAATCACGAAAATCCCCTGTAGTCTTGCCTATAGACCAATATAGTGGATGCATATTCTCAGTTGAATTCCCTCTTCTCAGATAACCTTGGTTTATATCAAGGCAACAAAAAATTTAACCAGTACAAGTTAGGTCACGTAAATCAGATTTCACCAGGAAGAACCTTAAAGTGGGTCTGCAGATATAATCATTCCAGGTATGAATTAACTCTGGAAACATTGTTCATTTATGCTGTACAATAGATACATGAGGGCTAGAGTGATGCCTCAGCCATTAAAGGCTAGGCTTACTACCAAAAAATAGATTTTTAAAGTACAGTAGACTTCTTCCAACAAACTATCTGGAGATGGAGGTTGCACCTTGAATATGATCTGTTCCCCAGACACTCCTGTTTAACAATTTGGCTTCCAGGTGTTCATAGTGTTTTTAGAGAGTTGAGGAACCTTTAGGAGACAGAAAGTTGCTTAGAAATGGGTTCTTGGGAATGGAATTTGAGGTTTTATGGCCTGATGACTTTTTTTTTAATCTGCTTTCTGTTTCTTGACTTCAGATGCAACGTGACCAAACATCTCATAGTCCTGCTGCCGCATCTTCACTGCCATGATGGACTGCATCCGCTCAAACTGTAAGCAAAACTAAGTGCTCTCTTAGAAGGTATTGTGTCGCCGAAATGAGAAAAGTAACTAAGACATACCAGTCCCCCTCCGTCCCTCCCTCCCTTCCTTCCCAGACTAACCTTAAATTTATGACCTAGCTCAAGGTGACATTAAACTTGAATCTAAATGCTTGCATTCGATTTGTTGTATGCAGCCCAGATGGCAACGGCTTTCTAGTCTTTCTCTGAAACTGACCTTTTAACAAATATGTTGTTACAAGGTAGTGTAATTTTTGTCAGTTCCAGTTGCAGTTTCTGAATAATGAAAGATGTAATTACCAACACACTTGCCATTTGAAACTATAAGTACAGTTTCCATTTTCTATAACCTAATAGCACATTGTCAACAATCCTTTTGACTGTGTTTGCCCACCTTGCAGTCCTATGTGGCTTTTTCTTTCACCTTCAATAGACTGACTTGATTCTAGATCTCCAACTTTGTTCTGTTTTGATTTTTCATTTTTAGATATTGAAAACTACCATCTGAAAATCTACCAGGTGATGTTCTTTAGAGTATCTTCCCCCTTTATAACACTTTACAAATAATCCCATTTTATAGGTGAGAAACTGAGGGTCAGAGTAAGTGAAATCTCCAAGATTGTATAATCAACATCTGGTGTTTGTCACTTAAAATTTGGAGTGGAGATGGAAGTGTGGAAGACGTACATTCTGAGAAATGTGTCTTTAGTCAATTTCATTATTATTTAAATGTCACATAGCATACTTATACAAGCCAAGATTATATGGATCAATGCAGTTCAGAGACAAAGCAAACACTAAATGTGTGAAACAGCTGCTTGAGTACAACAGTGCACACTCTTTCCCATGGATTGTTTTACATGAGTAGAAAGAGTACACTCTAAAGTAACAAATAATAATGTGTGATCCAGTAATGATGCTGTTTTTTTATTTTAAATATTATATACTGTACAGAATTGTATATGCTGTATTTTATAGGTTTTCCAGCACAACAGTTGACTGGGCATCACAATAACAAGTCAGTTTTACTTTAAAATTCTTTATGAAAATCGTAACTTGATTAAATCTTGACATGTAATTTGATACTTTTTACTGCATAAAGAAGAATGATGGTTATTGTATATATGTTTTCATTATTACCCAAACTAATCACTTTTTCATGAATTATCATTTATATAAAAAGGAGCAGTGAACAGAGCAACTGTGATTATTCAAAACATAAACAGGTTACAGACTTCTTTCTAAAAAGAGACAAATCTCTTACTTCATGGCAAACAGTTGATAATATATGTGACCAATGATAAAATTTAAGCTTTTAGATTAAAATTAGAACTTTGTAAAATATGTTTCTTTTACAATAAACTAGATAGCTTCTTGATGATATCATTCAGTAATATTGAAATGAAAGTTTTATTTTTAAATTGTGCAATGAAATGGGAAGGTCTACACAACTCAGTGGGTTAATATAAATGTTTAAAACATGGTATTGTGGAATTATGCATGTACAAAACTGACGTTCAAAGTTGGGACTTCTCGTTTCTGTCTTGGCATGCAAATAGCTTAGGAATTATATAACCCCGTTCTAAATAATTAAGCAAACTGAAAAACAACAATCTTTCTTAGATATAGCAGAGAACTGACATGCTGTTGAAAACCACTGAGCCATGGGTTGAACTAATGGGGCAAATATAGAGACTCACATCTTAGCAGGTAAGAGACCTTCAAGAAGAACCTTTGTAGGAATCAGTAGTTGTGAAGAAAACGAATCAGGTATAATGAAGGTAAAAAAAAATGGGAGAGAAAAGATCTTAAGCTTGAGTATATGTTAGTAGAAACTTCCAGAAGTAGAAAACAAAAGGACAACAAATCAAACAACCCAAAATCCCCAAACTTGGAAATTTGTAGCATAGAAAGAAAATCCAGGAACTGTGAGGCAGCTAACAATGTGTAATGTATGCCATATGTGAGTGTTAAAAGGTGAAAATGAGGATATTTGAAGCAAAAATGACTGAGAATTTCTTCAAATTATTATCAGATACCAAATCACAGATGTGGGGAGCTCAACTAAATGCCCAAACAGATGGTAGAACAACAGATGAAACCCAGTCAAACCAAATGAAATTAAAGCTAAGTGTATCATACAAAACCACAGAAGACCAAGGGAAAGGAAAAAGTATTGAAATAAATCAGAGAAAAAAATAGATGTACTCATATTTGACTTTCCAGAAACCATGAAAGCAGGAAGAAAATACAATTTAAAATTTGAGAGACCTAACCCACATCAAACTAGAATCTTCTGCCCCAAAAATTATTTTTTAAAAGTGAAGGAAAACACTTTCTCAGACAAGCAGAAATTAAAGGAGTTTGTTGCTAATAGCCTTGTCCTGTGAGAAAAAAAATATAGAAGCTTCTTTAGAGAACTGAACACTTAACTAAATAAAAGGCAAGAGCAGATAGCTATACCAAGAAACACCACAAATGTCGTAATTCTATATGCATAGAGCTAATGAAGATATGAAGAAATGTCTCAAAACCAGGAACAGACAAACAGTTTAATGGCATAAGGAAAACAATTTAAGATATGAAAGTAGAATTTAAAAAAGAAATAGAATTCCTAATAAAAGCCAAACTGAAATCAACTCGAAATTAGAAACTCAGAAAATCAAACAAAAAACTCGTAAGTAAGCCTCACTAACAGATTAAAAGGCATAGAAGAGTAAATATTGGGTCCTTAGCATGAGGTAGATGAAATGGATGGTTCAGTCAAAGTAAATTTTAAAACTAAAAGTAAATTTAGGCACAAAATATCCAGAAAATCTGAGAACTAGGAATACCTATAAATAACAGGTATAGAAGAAGAGGAAATCAAGATCAAAGGCACAGAAAAATAATTAATTATTACTATTTTTAATTTTATTTTTTGGGATTATAATAAAATTGTAACAGTTCCCTTCCTTTTACTCCCTCCAAACCATCCAATGCAAGGCCCCGCTCCTGCCATCAAATTTATGGTCTCTTTTTTCACTGATTGACAATATTCTCCAATCTAAAGAAAGAGATGTCTATCAAGTTACAAGAGGCAAACAGAACACCAGATGAACAGAACCAGAAAAGAAACTCTATACTACACATAATAATCAAACTTTAAATGTAATGAACAAAAAAAGGATATTAAAAGATATAAGGGAAAAGACTAAGTCAAATATAAACTAAGTCGAAATATAAATATAGAACAACACCTGACTTTTTAAATGAAGATTCAGAAAGAAAGAAGGGCCTGAACAGATGGCATAGAAGCCCTGAAAGACCACAGGTGCCAGCCCAGAATCTTATACCCAGAAAAATTATGAATGACAATTAACTGAAAAGAAAAAAAAATTATGATGAGAACAAATTTAAGCATTTTCTTCCACCAGTCCAGGTCTACAGAAGACAATGGAATGAAAACCAGGTTGAAGAGAAAGTCAGCCTAATAAAATGCAAAAAAAAGTTTATCAAAAAAGGGGAACAATACCGAAGTAAAATAATAGGAGTTAGTAAAAAATGTTGAATAATAACTCTCAATAAATTGTCTCAATTTCACAATTTAAAAAGATAAGGATTAATAGACTGGATTAGAAAACAGTATCCATCTTCGTGCTGAATTCAAGAAACATACCTCACCATAATGGACTGTTATGACCTTAGGATGAAAGGGTAGAAAAAGGCATTCTAGGCAAATGGAACCAAGAAGCAAGCAGGCAAAGTTATTTTGGTATCTGACAAAATAGACTTTAAACCAATACTGATCAAAAGAGATAGCAATGGACACTACAAATTAATCAAAGGAAAAATTCACAAAGAGAATAATATAATTCTAAATATTTATGCACTGAATAGAAAGAAACCCAACATCATTAGAACAACAGCAAACATTGCTATATCTAAAGGTACATGTTGACCCCAACAAGGTGATAATGGGTGACTTCAATAACCTACTCTCTCCTTAGACAGATAATCCATACAAAAACTAAACAGAGAAATGCTGAATTTAAATTTCATCATAAATCAAATGGACCTAGCAGATATTTAGAGAACATTTCATATGAACACAAAAGAATATACCTTCTTAGCAGCTAATGCAACAAAACTGACCACATACTGGGCCACAAATTAAGTCTTGTCAGATATAATAAAATTGAAATAACACCATACTTCCTACAGTGTATTAAAGCTGGATATCCACAACAGAAACAACAGGAAGCCTAAAAATCACGGAAACTAAACAACTCACTACTGAGTAAAAAATATGTCAAGATATAAATGAAGAAAGTTAAAAACATTTAGAATTGAATGAAAATGAAACACAACATGTTCAAACCTATGGGACTCAATGACTGCAGTTTTTTTTTAGTCAAACCTATGGCACATACATAAAAACTGGAGATATCTCATATTAATTACTTAATATGTACAAAGATACATTTGGAAGTTTTAGAAAAACTAGAAGAAATAATACCGAAATGGTGTAGATGGGAATAAATTATCAAACTTACAGCTGAAATCAATAAAATAGAAACAACAATCAAAAAATAATACAAAGAATCAATGAAACAAAGAGTTAATTCTTTGAGAACTATCAACAAGATCAGCACACATTTAGCAAAATTAACCAAAAGAGAGATTCTACATTAGTAATACTATGTATGAAAAGGGAGTTCAGTTCTTATAACAGACATGAAGGAAATTCATAGAGTCTTAAAGGACATATTTTAAAATCTGTATTCCACCAAACTGGAAAACATTAAAAAAAAACCTGATAGATTTCTTGATATATATGACTTACCATAATACCAAAGTTAAATCATTGTAAAATAAACAATTTAAATAGACCCATAACTCCAATAGAAATAGAAGCAAAAATTTAACATTTTCTAACAACAAAATAGCCCAGGGCATGATTGACTCAGTACAAAATTAAGCTTGACCATCATAGAACTAATACCAACACTC